AGAAGACGCTCAAAGATGATGACACCCAACTGTAGCCTAGAGAGAAACAGATTGGCATCCAGGTCTGGTAAGTTTATATATCTCTCAACAAATCTTAGAATAACATAAAAAGGACCATGGAAATCAAAACTTCAACATAGAAGGGTTAAAAAAAAAATGAAAAAAAAAAAACACAAACAAAAAACCCAAGCATTTCCAAGTTCTGCTATAGATTCGGAGCTTGTTTCAGATAGCAACTCACTGCCCACTGTATTTTCAAGGGGGACAACGGAATAAAATAAAGATTAGCTTAATTCGGAATAGCTTTGGCAAAGAATAACGTGTCTTTACTGGAATCCACTGCTAGCCCTGTCCATTTTCATGGGTTATTCAGGTAGATCATATAATGTTCATGGAGGAATTGACACAGCATAGTCCACAATCTTTGAAATCTGACATGTGGGATCAGGGGTTTAACTAGGGGCCTTTCCTTTTTGAGCCTTTCCCATTGTCCCCGAGGCCCTTTATTATGGGTCCCGCAGTGGGACTCTTTCACATGTTGTGCAGCAGGCCCCCCTGATGGCAGAAAGCAAGAGATATGTCACCAGCACACCTTCCTGTTGTAGTTTCCTACTCAATATAAGAGTCCAACACAGTGGCAGAACTATCACGGTTGCAAAGGTCAGAGTTGTGATTCTACCAGCCAACAGAGTTACCTGAAGATTGGCACCCAGGGAGAAAATGCAGGCAACAGCGAGAGACCATTAGAGAGGAGTTACGTTTAATTCCTCTTTCAGATATCTACAGACTATCTACAGGCTGGGTTTAGGAGAATTAATAATCCTTTTCCCTCTTCCTCTTTTTTTTTTCCTTTGGTATTCTCTTATTATACTTATTTTATACTATACTTAGTTGATGTTTTTTAGTTTGATGCCTATGTATAATCTTAATCTGTAGATCTATAATGTTTGAATTAAGATGGGAACAAAGAATTAATTGTTTTTGGCAACTAATTGTTGATTTGGAAAACCATTTTTTTTCTCCACTGATTAAAATAAATGAAAAAAAAAAGTCCATCCACAGAATAGACTTACATTTCCTTAATACAAGTGGGAATTTATTCAAGGTTTCTAATAAAATAAAACAAAATTGAAAATTTATCTGTGCATTATTTTCTTTTCAGGGCCACTGCAAAACCCATCATTGTCCTGCTCCCTGTTTTAGGACTGACCTGGTTATGTGGAATATTGGTACACCTCAGTGTAATCTGGGCCTACGTTTTTATCTTCTTGAATTCATTTCAGGTACTGGATATTTTCCTTCCTCTTTTTAATCCTCTATATCTTTTATGTATTTTTAGAATGTGGGGACCTAATTATTAAGCTAAAGCAAAAGTAACAAGATACATTTACCCGATTTTTCATTAAAGTCAATTCTCATCAAAATCCAGTAAAAAACTAAAAAAAAGCTTAATCATCTTGCGCAAAGCTAAATTTTAGGTATTATATGCTGTCTGCAGTTTTAATCCATTGTGAAAATTCATGTTGATACCATGTCCTCTCAGCCAATGGGGTTGTTGCGCACAAATATCTAGTCCCCTTAAAGCACCAGTTGCTTATGCTGATTGAAGCTATGTCCCAAAAAAATAATCCCTACAAATGCTGATCTCATGTTTCAGAAAGGACTGGCACTCCGCTGACTCCATTATCCTATATTGTGCAAGCAAAAAATACTTTTTTAAATTTTTTCAATGCATGTGATTACTTATTACTAAGAAAAATTCCTTTGCAAAAAATAAATTCCCCTGCAAAATGAACAGCCTATTTGACCTTAGTAAATCAACCCTATTGTGTGCTCTACTTTCAGCTTTAACTGTAAACAGAATGCTTATTTTTGGTGTAATATTTAGTGTTACTGAAATCTGAAATTTGTTAAAATAGTTAACATGTTATACTCACCTGCTCTGTGCAGTGGTATTACAAGGAACAGCCCCGATCCTCCTCTTCTCGGGTCCCCCACAGGTGATCTTGGCTCCTTTTCTTCTTAGTGTGTCCCCATAGCAAGCCATGTGCTAGAGGGCACATGGTGCATGCTCACTCCCGTTCTGTGTCCCTACAGAGCCGTGCTCCATAGGCACACACAGCGGAACTTAACCCGCCCTTTCACTTCCTCTGCACTACATTTGATTGACAGCAACAAAAGCTAATAGCTCCTGCTGCTGTTCGAGTCTCTGTGTGAAGAAAAAGAGAGGGGAAAGGAGATGCAGCTGTTCTCCTCTCTCTACCCCTTCACACAGGGAATGGGCAGCACAAGGAAACTGCAAACATGTTTTAACCTTAATGCAAGCAATTCATTAAGGTAAGAACAATTTTTAGATATAGTACCACTTTAATATTATTCGTTACCATTATATTATAATGAAACACTAAGATGAAATCAGTTTACCAGTCTTATATATGGTAACTGCATGAGTTTTTCAGGCTCTCTTTACTTTATTTTCTCCTGGTGATCCAGCCATTAACACACTTTCTGTCCTAGGGTGACATGATATTGTATTTATGGAGAAGCGGTATTGGACAGAACTACAAAACAACCCCGCTGCCCACTGTGCGAAAAGTGATTGGTGGCTAGGGAGCCGTTGCATCACTTTCAAGCCCACAGCCTGCTGAACAAATGGCTTCAGGCTAATGGCTTCTACTGCATTCATCAGCTTGTGATTAACAGTTCTCTCTTAGATGTACATCTGACAAAAGATGAATTATTATTATTATACAGTATTTATATAGCGCCAAAAGGTTGGATGGAACTTAACTGTATCTGAGCACCTCAAGCTAAAAATGCTATTTAATTTTTCATATTTAAAGCAAATCCACCAATCCATGTCTCCATGCTTCACATTGTTGAGAAATCACTTAAAAAAAACAACCCCTAGCATTTATAGCTGTGGCCATCTTAAGTGAGGGTAGATGATTCATGTAGCTTTTACTTCCTGGAATCAATCTGCCCTCAGCTCAGGCATGCATGCAGGCAGGAGAAAAACCTTCTCCTCCAGAAAGAAAAAAAAAACAAATTCCCATTAAGACTCCTGCGATGTATGACTTCATTTTAACCAGAAACCAGGAAGCAAGTAAAGAAATACAAAAAATAAATCAAACAAGTAAACATGATATACTTTCCTATCTATTTACTAATGCTTGCAGCCTAAGGATGGAAAACAAAGTTATGTTGATTGACAGAGTTTAGTTGTACTTTAACACTGTGAATAAACTGTCACAGGTTGGTGTAGACCCGCTATGTCACGAGCATGAAGTTTACCTGCTCCAAGATGCAAAGTCTATACCAATCTTTTGTTTTTCATTTGGAATACCTGCAAACAGGGCTGGACTGACAACTCATGGGGCCCCTATGTCCTTACCCAAACTCAAAAAAGCCTATGAAAAAGGTACCAGGGGCATCTCATGGGGCCCCTTACTGACCCTGGGCCCTCGGGCAGTGCCCGAGTTTCCAAATGGTCAGTCCACCCCTGCCTGCAAAGAGGTATGGAATTCATTGTGTGATACTCCTAAGTTATAGTCCTGAGACTTGCTGCATCTTTGACCTTGGTAGGCGAAAGCATGACAGTAAACCACGTAATTTCTCTTAAATCTGCAGTCTAACAGTAACTGTGGTATAGAGACTGTTGCCTGCTCTATACAGAACCCTCATGGCTCTATAGAAATCCCTAGATAGCAACTGCGATTACTGGGCTTTTGAAAAGAAAGTCAAATTGAAAAAAAAAAAGTCAGAAAATAAATAATTGAAAAACAAAAAAACTTAACTTTAAACACCCTAATGACATTAACGAATCACGCTACTCACTTAAATGGGCTGCCAATGAGCCAACTTACCGCAATGCAGCCAAAATCGTACCTCACCAATTTTTCTGTTGCAGGCATCTTCGAATAAAAATTGTAGAACTTTATTTTAATCAATCAGTGCATAAAAATGTATCAATTCCTGCTAAAGATTGACATGTTTCAGCCACATGACTAAGGCCCATACAGGTGACTGAAACACTTCAATCTTTAGCAGGAATTGTTTCCTTTTTATGTCTTGTTGGATTAAAATAAAGTTCTGAAATTTGTATTCAAAGATGCTTTTGTGCCATACATTTATTCCTTTATTAAATATATCATATATCATCTGGATAATGCACTACAGTTTGGGGCACCAATTCAAAAAATGAACATTAGGGAACTGGAGAAAGTACAGAGAACGGCAACCAAACTGATAAGAGGCATGGAGGAGCTCAGCTGTGAGGAAAGATTAGAGGAACTGAATGTATTCTCTCTTGAGAAGAGGAGATTGAGGGGGTGTATGATCAACATGTATAAATACATCAGTGGTTCATATACTGAACTCGGTGTAGAGTTATTCACCCTGAGGTCATCACAGAGGACAAGGGGGCACTCTTTACGTCTGGAGGAAAAGTGATTAAATCTCCAAATATGGAAAGGGTTCTTTACAGTAAGAGCTGTGAAAATGTGGAATAGACTCCCTTAAGAGTTGGTTCGGGTCAGCTCAGTGGATTGCTTTAACCACTAGCCTACAAGGCACTTATACCCCCTTCCTGCCCAGGCTAATTTCCAGCTTTCAGCGCTGTCACACTTTGAATGACAATTGCGTGGTCATGCAACACTGTATCCATATGAAATTTTTATCATTTTTTTGGGACAGATAGAGCTTTATTGTGGTGGTATTTAATCACCTCTGGGTTTTTTAATTTTTTCTTAAACAAACCAAAAACCACTAAAAATGTTGGAAAAAAAAAACGTTTTTGTTATAAAATTTTGTAAATAAGTGATTTTTCTCCTTCACTGATGTGCGTTAATGAGGCTGTAGTGATGGGCACTGATAGGCTACACTGATAGGTGGCACTGATGGGCACTGATGAGGAGGCACTGGTAGGTGGCACTGATGGGCATTGACAGGCATCACTGATGGGCACTGAAAGGCAGCACTCATATATGGCACTGATATGTGACACTGATAGGCGGCACTGACTGACACTGTTAGGTGGCACTGACTGGCACTGTTAGGCGGCACTAATAGGCAGCACTGTCGGGCACTGATAGGCGGCACTGATGCACACTGATAGGCGGCACTGACTGGCAGTGATAGGTGGCACTGATTGGCAGCACTGATAGGTGGCACTGACTGGCATTGATAGGTGTCATTGACTGGCTCTGATGGGTGACACTGAAAGGCAGCTCAGATGGGCACTGATATGTGGCATTGATGTGCACTGGTAGGCACTGAAATGTGGCACTGATGGGCACTGGCAAGTGGCATGAATGAGCACTGACACATGGCACTGATGGACACTGACAGGTAGCACTGCTAAAGCTACACTGATTATCAGGGCACACCGATCATCAGTGCTCTGATGATCAGTGTAGATGTCCCCTCCAAAGAATGCCGATTACCGGCTCTCCTCTCCTCTCGAGCTGTCAGCGTGACAGCTCGTGAGGAGAGAAATGCCGATAACCAGCATTTCCCTGTTTACATGTGATCAACTGTGATTGGACACAGCTGATCACATGACCGAGCCGACATCTTCGGCTCTTTCCGTGGATTGGTGATCCGCTGTGTCCGAGGGACACAGCGCACCGCTGATCACCCCGCTGTGCGCTCTCAGAGCCTCACATGCGCGGTGAGAATAGGAGGACGTCATATGACCTCCCAGAACGAGAGAACCGCCTTGCGCCCATCATTGTACTATATGGCGGGCGGGAGGTGGTTAAAAAAAGACCTGGCTTCTTTCTGAGATACACAGAATATAACTGGATACTCACATTTATAGGTAAATTTCAGGTTGCACTCCTGAACGCCCGATCGGTTTGCAACAAGCTCACCACCATCCATGACCTCTTTATCTCCCACTCCCTCAACCTCCTAGCGGTCACCGAAACCTGGATCCAAGCCACTTAATCCACCACCCCTGCCTCACTCTCCTATGGAGGTCTCGTCTGGTCCCATTCACCCAGACCGAGCAGTCGTAGAGGTGGTGGGGTCGGCATGCTCTTGTCACACCGCTGAGCACCTTCCAGGTCCTTCCAAACCCCCCCTCTCTATCCTTCTCCTTCGAGGCCCACTGCATCCGACTCTTCTCCCCCACCCCTCTGAGGATTGCAGTAATCTATCGGCCTCCTGGACCCGTATCCTGCTTCCTTGATGACTTTTCCACCTGGCTGCCCTTCTTCCTCTCCTCTGAGCTACCCACCATCATCCTGGTGACTTCAATATCCCTATCAATGTCAACAACCCGGCTACATCCCAACTCTTCCACTTAACCTCTTCTTTTGCACTCACACAGTGCACACAGACCTCCACCCACACCGACGGGAACACCCTGGACCTCGTTTTCTCCCATCTCTGCACCCCCACAACCTCACTAACACCCCTTTCCCTCTCTCTGACCACAGCCTCATTACGTTCTCCATCTCCCTGTCCTCTAACACCTCCCCCCCAAAATGCCAAACCATCACCAGCCGTAACCTCCGCAGCCTGAACCCAGCCCCTCTCCACTCTGCAGCTGACCGTCTGTACGACAGTATCCTTCCACTATCATGCCCTGGACTGACCATAGCTGCGTATAACTGCTCGCTATCAGCTGCCTTAGACCCCTTAGCACCCCTAACCACACGTAGCATTAGACCTCGACCGCTTCAACCCTGGCAGAACGACCACACTAAAAATCTTAAACAACTCAGTCGCGTGCTGGAGCGACTATAGCGCAAAACCAGATCCCCTCGAGCTTTCTCCCGCTACAAATCCGCCTTCCTCACCTACACCTCCTCCCTCCACGCCGCCAAACAAGCCTACTTCGTAAAACTCATCAACACCCTCTCCTCCAGTCCTCGCCGGCTCGTCTCCACTTTCAACTCCATACTCTCTCCCCCTCCCACCACCACCCAGTACCTCACTCACCTCCCACAAGATTGCCAATCACTTCCAAAATAAGATTGACGCAATCCGTAAGGACATCGCCAAAGCTCAACCTACCTCCCCACCTAGCCTCCCTTCCACCATAACCCCACCAACTCTCCCCTCCTCTGACCTCGCAACCGCCCTGCCCCCCACCACATCTAACATCCCACACACTATAACCTCCCCAACACTCCGCTCCTTCAGCCTTGCCACCACTCAGAAGCCTGCCTCACCACTTGCCCCCTTGATCCTGTCCCCACACAACTCCTCCGGGCACCCTCCTCCTCTATCCTACGCTCCCTCACCCACATCTTCAATCTCTGCCTCTCTACTGGCACATTCCCCTCCCCCCTAAAGCATGCACACATCACCCCCATACTCAAAAAACCCTCCCTGGACCCCATCGACCTGAACAACCTTAGACCCATCTCCCTAATGCCATTTACTTCCAAGCTCCTTGAGCTCTTAGTCTACAATCGCCTAAGCGCCCACCTCACTGACAACAACCTCCTCGATCCACTACAGTCCGGCTTTCGTCCTCTACACTCCACCGAATCCGCCCTACTCAAAATCACTAATGACCTGCTAACCGCCAAAGCTAATGGCCACTACTCAGTCCTTTTACTCCTTGACCTCTCCTCGGCCTTCAACACAGATGACCATCCCCTCCTCCTTAATAAACTACACTCCCTCGGCATCAGTGACTCCACTCTCTCCTGACTCTTCTCCTACCTATCCCAACGCTCCTTCAGCGTTACCTATAACGCTACCACCTTCCCCTCTCTCCCCCTCTCTGTTGGGGTCCCCCAAGGCTCTGTCCTCGGGCCCCTTCTCTTCTCCATCTACACCTCCTCCCTCGGCAAACTGATACACTCCCACGGCTTCAACTATCACCTCTACGCTGATGACACGCAAATGTACCTCTCCACCCCTTACCTCACCCCTTCAGTCTCCACCCGTATCGCCCACCTACTGAATGACATATCAGACTGGATGTCCCTCCATTTCCTCAAACTGAACCTTTCCAAAACTGAGCTCCTAATCTTGCCCCCAGCCCGCGCCCCCCCCCCTCTCCATCACGACCAACAACGCCATCATCAGTCCCACCCCGCAAGCCAAAGTCCAAGGTGTCACTCTAGACTCAAACCTGTCCTTCCAACCCCATGTCCAATCGTTGGCAAACTCATGCAGGCTCCACCTCCGCAACATCTCCAAAATACTTACGTTCCTAACCCCAGACACTACTAAAGAACTCGTTCACTCCCTCATTATTTTACGTCTGGACTACTGCAACTTCCTTCTCACCGGCCTACCTCATCACAGACTATCCCCGCTTCAGTCTATCCTGAACTCAGCAGCCAGACTCATCCACCTTACTAACCGCTCCTCTTGTGCCACCCCCCTCTGTCATTCCCTCCAAGCTCCTGATTGCCCAACGCATTAAATTCAAACTACTAACACTGACATACAAAGCCATTCACAACGCTGCCCCAAACTACCTCACCGACCTGATACCCAATACCACCCAACCCGTAATCTTCGCTCCTCACAAGACCTCCTACTTTCTAGCTCCCTGGTCCCCACCTCCCACGCCCGACTGCAGGACTTCTCCAGGACTTCCCCCATCCTCTGAAACTCACTACCCCAATCCATCAGACTCTCACCTACCCTCCTCACCTTTAGGTGCACCCTGAAAACCCATTTCTTCAGGGAAGCCTACCCCACCCTCACCTAACAGCCGATCTCCTCCACTCCTCCCACCACTCCATCCCCCCAGCCACTTCCTCCTGTACCACTTTACCCTCCCTCCTAGATTGTAAACTCGGAAGAGCAGGGCCCTCGAACCCCTCGTGTATTGTCTTGTTACTGTGTTGTCTCATGTTCTGTCCCCCTATAATGTACAGCGCTGAGCAAACCTTTCTGGCGCTATATAAATACTGTATAATAATAATAATAATCCAGGGGATATCTGATTGCCTTTCTGGGGATCAGGAAGGATTTTTTTCCCCTGCAGGAGCAAATTGGATCATGCTTTGCTGGGTTTTTGCCTTCCTTTGGATCAACTGTGGGTATAGGATTATAACTTTTTTCTTTTTTTATGGCTGAACTAGATGGACTTTTGTCTTTTTTTTCAGCCAGACTAAGTAATGTAACTATGTAACTATATGGGCAGTATGTACAGCGTGGGTCTGGGTACAAGCGCCTAGTCCTCATCCTTGCTTGTGAGATTGGGGTTGTAGCACTGCAATCTTTTGTTCATAGACTTATCTCCCTCCATACTACACAACTCTACAGGAATATCAGCTAACAGACGATATGACCTCTATCAGCCAAGAGCAATTGTGAGTTACCAGGTACAAGTAGAGGTGCAAGCAAACATACATCAGGGTGATTGAAGATGTGGCAGCCAAGTCCTCCCATCTTTATTACATGGGTAGTACATCCTTATGGTCCCCAACAGGGGCGGACTGACAACTCATGGGGCCCCCGGGAATAGGTCAGGCCGCCCCTGGTCCCCAAGTGCCCCTGAGTTTGCCTTACATAGGAAGATATTATTATTATACAGGATGTATATAGCACCAATAATTTGCGCAGCATTTTACAAAAATGAAGGTAGACAATACAGTTACAATACAATTTGGTAAAAGAGGAAACAGAGGGCCCTGCTCATTAGAGCTTACAATCCAGGAATCCAGCTGCACCTGATCTCACCTCCCATTAAACCCCTGATAAAACAGTATCACTATACTGTCAAATACATGGAGAAAAGCCATTCCCAATTTGATTTTTTTTGGGGGATGTAACTAACTGTTTGCAGTACTTAACATTAATACCTACCAAAGATATCCCATTTTTATGGGTATTGTACTTATATATAGTGATTTTTTGGATATTAAAATAAAATGTAAATGAAACTTCAGTATATGGTCTATTTGGTGCTTTAAAACCGTAGCTATTTTCCTTTCTTTCCTTTGATGGGTCATTCAAGCCAAATAAATTAGAGTCTTTCAAAAAGCATCAACACAAGTGTTAAGATGCATGCATTTATTGTTAACAAGCTTTTAATGAATGACATTTTTACTGCTAAAATAGCCTTAAAATTCAAAGTGTGTAAACATGGATAATTTTTGGAGTTTTATGAGAAGAGTGATTACTAAAAGGTTAAGCTGTTTTCTACGTGGGCACAGATGTGCCAGTTATCATTGTAATATACAAGAGTTTGGATAACCTCCCTCCAAAACACCCAGATGAGCATATCCTGCAGCTGTGTTCCCAACCTCCGCCCCCCTCCACCCTACATCATATAGAACTTGGCAGCTATTCTAGAAAAGTGTTGTGTGGGAGTAACCTGTGTTTCTTTTGAAGCACAAGAAATTTGTGACTTTGCTGGATGTTATTCCAAATG